TTGAAATTCAAACCAACCTTATATAGGGTAAAATTTTCATTATTTTCATTACACAGACTCTACTTGTTTAATTATACTGGGTTTGTTGTTGTTGTTGTACGAGAAAATATGAGGTAAAATACCGACTGAGGCGGAGCCAAAATTTAAAGTTTATGAGTTCTAAATTTTCCACCAAATTTATAGCTCATTTTAGTTAATGGTTCACAGAATAATTACACATATATTAAATACATAATAATACAAATACAAGATCTAAGTAAAAAGTATTAGGTTTTTTCAAACCCGTATGTAGACTCTAGCTCCCCCCGTCGGTAAATTATTTTACACTTGCAAGAATGTGTAAAAGTAAAGGGAAAAATATAGAGGGGAAGAACAACCTTATTATATTATACTAACAAAATATATAATTTAAAAATCACTATCCATTAACAGCCATAAATGCTTTTGCTTTTCTGTATGCTCTCTTCAAGTACATCCTAAAGCGATTTAAATCCAACTTTATATTTTGTTCTCTAAGATAAATATCCATAATCTCCTTAGACCAACCATTTTCTTGAAGAGCCTTTGGATTTTTGAGCACCAAACTATCTTCTTTTGCAAATTTGTCCACTAAACTGCTTTCTTCAATTCCAATTTTGTATTCCTCATAAACCAACTTCATATCCCTGGCTATTTTCCCAAAACAAAGATCTGAAACTCCTTCTGCTCCTATTGGAATAATTTGAATGAATATTGAACTAGGACGTAGAAATAATGCATGTGTTAGTGCTGCTCCATGCACACCAATCATTGCATGGCTTGAGTGTATCAATCCAAATGATTCATGCAATGATGTGTTTTTGCTCGGCTCGAACAAAATTACCTCGAAACCAATCTGTTCCGCGACTAATTTTACTTCGTCATGGTTCAGTATCAAACGTCCAACACTTCCGTTACGGCTTGCCAGCACGAGCTGAGGTCGAGGCTGAGGCTGAGGTTGAGACAGGGTTCTTAGAGGTTTATGACCGGCGCCATATGTGGTAGCTAGAAATTTATGAAAATCTATTAGGGTTTTGGAGGTTGGTGTTAATTTTGGGTCTATGGTCATAAAACCATGTGACATTAGGCCAAGTGTTGCTTTAGGAAAACAATGTGTGACATTAATCTCCTTGTCAAGATTAATGATGGGGTGTTTGCTAAAGCTTTGTAATAAATCCTTGTACTTTTGGACCCACCAATCTTCCAATTTGGAGATTACAAATATGAAATCTTGATTAGGAAACAAAGAATTAACAGTGATAAATAAGGGAAGGAATCCATCATTTATGTCATGGAAAAAATTTCCAGTGTACCCTCCCACACTGAATACAAGAGCTTGGGCTTTGTGTTGGATCAAACATGTTGGGCTTAATGGGCCTGTAGTTAGAGTAATTTCCTTGATTCGGCCCATTGTGAAATTCTCCCATTTTCTTGGGTAGGGCCTAATCTTTTCAACTGTGATATTTGTGTTATTCTTATTGGTTGGATCCATGTCAGAGAAAGTTGACTCAAATGGGTCAAAAATTGTTGGCCCGTTGATTGAGCAAATATCATAAAAATAATGAGACCTGTCGCAGCTGATTATTGACTTGGATTTTTGTACTGAAGAACCTTTGAAATTAAAAGACAAAACCAAAGAAAGATTGTCAAAAACTTTACATGTTGGCTAGTCATTTTCTTTGAGGAAAAAACAAAGAGTAGGATAGAGAAAAAAAAAAGAAAAAACCATCGACAAATTCTTTTGTTAAGACTTACTTTTAACGAAATCCTTTTTTAATATTTTATTAGTACGTAGTAATACCTTGAATATGAATCTTATAACAGTTTATTAATACAGTACTAATAAAAAACACAAAAAAATAGACTAGTATAAAAGTGCCAAAGCGCTACTCTTTGGTCCAATTTTAAAAAGGCAAAATCAGATGCAATACTTCTCTAACCTATCTTTCTTGAAAAGCTCGGTACCCCACAGGTATAAGCCCCAAGATCCTATTTAATTTTTTGCTTTTTTCCCCCTGTTGGAACCTAGTACATTGGTATAAAAGTTAAAATAATGGTTGCAATTTTAAAGTATACTGATAATATAAATTAATTAAATTACACCGATTTTATTTTTTTTTGCATCGTCAGTGCATGAAAGTCACTAGGCTCTCAAATTGTGGTGTCTACCGCCAAAGATGTGGGGAAAATGAGAATTTTTCACCCTTGATCAGAGATATCTTGAATTCGGGCTTTAGAAATGATTTTTTTTGTACAAATAGCATGTGCTAGTAAATTTTTGGACTGATAATTAAAAAATAATAGACAATATTTGTCAAGTCATTAAAAAATCACTACTCCCTCCGTTTCAATTTAGACGAGGTAGTTTGACGAGTTTAAGAGAAGAAAAAGACTTTTGAAACTTATCGTCTTAAAAGCTTAAAGGGTAAAAGTTTTGTGGACAATGACATTTGTACGATTATAAAGGCTTCTCATTAACGGTAAAATAATTAAATTTCAATTGTAGAAATGTGTCATTCTTTTTTGAACAGACTAATAAGGAAAATGTGTCATCTAAATTGAAATAGAGGAAGTATTAGTTTATGCAGAGATAAAATTTGGACAAAAATACCCTAGCTAAAACACGAAAAGTTACAACATAATATGTTGGATTATGGAGCTCCTGCATATAAACTTCCAGCATATTATGTCGGAATCTCATATGTAAAGAATTCGAACTCCAGCATATTATACTAAAATCTTTTTAGAATTTTAAGGGTGTCATTTCTCATTTCTTATTTTTACATGAAAAAATAGCTAAATTTCTATTAGCTTTGAAATTATGACTAATTTTTAATTATCAGCCGTGAATTAGACTTACTGAATTTTTATAAGAGCACGTCCATTTTAATAGTCTTACACGATGCATATTGCGATTAGTAAATTAGTGAGGCAATAGAGAATTTAAAAAATAAACAGAAAAAGTAGAATTAGTTTTCCGTAACGGATGCGTGAGAGAGGGTCGGTGGGAGATTGCAATTTGCAGCAATCGCGGAAAGTAAGACTGGTTGGGATGTGAGCAAATAGACACATTACTAAAGACTTTCTTCACTCACTTTTAAGACAATTCAAACAAGGAGTATAATTTGCAGCAAACCATGCAGCATTGAACGTAGTGAATTTTAGTCGAAGGGATAGACAAAATATATAAAAGTAAACATATCAGAAAATTAAAAGAAGTCAATACATAATATATTTATATATAATTTATTTTTTTACCTAGTTACACAATGTATTTTGTTCGTCAATGGGTGTCATTTAACACTCCTTCCTATAAAGTGGCTCCACCATTGAGCACATGAGTGTATTGTTCAACTAGTGCTCCAGTCTATTTTTTATCTTAAAGATTCCAAACAAAATATAAGACTATNTATATATATAACTTTTTACAAGGTTAATGGGATCTGATGACCCTCTACACTAAAAATAAGTCCGAACGTGCAAGTAAAATCCTAAAATAACTTAAAAATTGTAAATAAACATTAAACTTGAGGAACTCATGAATATGCTCCGTAAATTAGGATTAGCTGCACGTTTCTCCCAGCTTTTCCAGCAAATATCAACGATTTCTAAAAGGATTTAAATTAAAAATATACTGTAAGCGTAAAAATATTTATATTATGATATGTGTTGTTCAACTTGTGATAGTAGGTTATTATCTTTTTCCTAGGTTACCAATTAATTTACATGCTACTTTGAAGTAATCTGTTTGTATAAAATATTTTTTTATACACCGTTCAATGTACGCACAACACTTGAACACTCTGAAAAATGAGAAAGACAAGCATATGTACCTCCATGTTTATGACTGATTGTACGAGGGGTTGAGTCAATAAAAGAATGAAGTCTGGAGAAGAAGAAAAGTTGATTTTGCCCCACCATTATAATCATTAAGACGAAAAGCATGAGTCCCAGAAACGCCATTGTTGGCTTTGAAGCTCTTTTCTTCACCAAATTAATCTTCATTAATGCTATGGGAAGGAAAATGGAGGGGTTTTTACTTTCTTTTCTTTATTTGAAGAAGAAGAAGAGGAGGAGATGCATGACAAGAGAGAAAATTGTTCTAATTTGAGCTACATATATATAGTATAAGGTCTTTTGTCATATCTGTCTTGTCATATCTGTCAAAAGAAAATATATAAAAAGAAAAGAAAAGCATATGGTCATACTTTGAATAGGTTGAGTTGTCCACTTGGCAAAACGAGGTAGAAAGATTGGGACTTTTTTGGCAGAATAGAAGAGAAATTAAAGGAGAAACACTTGGGGAAGAAAATCTGGATATATCGCTTTCAAGTTGTTGACAAAACTCAAATAAATGGGGTTCAACTTCAACTTCCCAAAGCTCAAATATATTTTGGCATCATTCACGTCAATATTCATATATAGGTTAGATTTCCATGCATGGATTTATTTATTTATGTCTTTCATCCTGTTTAAATTGTTTCTTCTAATTTGTCGGTCTAAAGAGCGCAATTTCAACAAGAATGTGGATAATTTTCTCAACGTCATAATTTATTTATTTTATAAAAAAGGCAGCCTGCAAGTGCACCAAGTATTCCGAATTAACGTAGAGTCCGGAGAAAGGCCGCATCCCATGTGTATGATGTAGACAGTCTACCCATTAATGATTGCTTTCACAACTCGAACTCGTAATCTATAAGCCACACAGAGATAACTTTTCCGTTGCTCCAAACTCCCTTCCTCAACGTCCTAATTTATTCTCTTATAATTGAGAGGTTCATCATTTCAAGATTGCGACAACTCGATGTTTTGTTAGTTATAAAATAATCACCACATTAATTTCTTTTCCCAAATCAATAGTCTTTTGTCTATCACATAACATGATCATCTTTCGAATCATCTAATGGGACTATTGAGTAATGATCCTTTCAATTTTAGGTAAAAGTCACTCCAGTTAAAAGTGGACAAGAACAATACAATAGTGGAGTAGTAATCTTGTTCGATGAGGTTATCTTCTAACATATCTATACTACTAGTTGCCTGCAGCCTGTGCGGAGCACGGGCCCAACACTACAACAAATTTCAAAATATTTTTTCAATACGTAATCAATGCTTAATTAACACCAAGTAGATGCTGCTACATCTTTTGAGTTACAAAAGATACAAAACGTAGCAAAACAATAGATGCAGCAATATACAACAATTTCATATTGACGGTTCGGCAATCCGTTGTTATTCCTTCAAGAATGTCCAGGCAGACAGCTACAGTGTTCCAAATGGCTTATGTTTCTTTCTCATCATCCTTCCTAGTGGTGAAATCAGAAATTTCCTCAAGGGTGTTTAAATTTGAAATAAGTAAAAAAAAAAATCCCGATAAAGAGTGTTCAATATATGTAATATACCTCTAAAACATGATATTTTACCTATATACGTAATGTAATTTCACGACAAAGGGTAGACAGTTGACCACCCTTACCAATGTGTAGCTTCGCCACTGAATTCCTTCCCAGCCAGCTGCTGGTAGCACCTCTTGGGTTGGATAGTTTGATTTGAGTCTAGCTAAGGTATTTAGCAAAGAGTACTGGGAAACTGTTAAGGTAACAAAACTTTTCTAATCATTGCACTTGAGAAATTGGTGGAAGTCCATATTCGACCATCTCAAATCATTTTCCTTTTGAACTCTCAAATTACCTGCAACTACAAATGCTTTAGGATGATTAGAGTAAGAAGATAAACAACTAAAAGTATGAAGCACTGAATAGAAGACCCAAAAAGGAGAGTAAAAGTGTGTGTGTGTGTGTCACAAGTAACATCTAAAGTTTCTTTCAGTCATTGCCTTGGAATGATCTATTCAACCTTCGCCGATGAAGCTATCCTGATATGGACCCCCTTGTAACATAAACATATAATTGAGAAATTTAATGTGCTACCATCTCATTCTATTAGCATGGAAGTATCAAGCATCATATACCATCTTTCTCCAATTATCCTTCTTACTTTACAGGAAAGGCAACATTTTCCTTGGAGTTACTTAGCCAGTTAGATATTTATTATATGAGCTTCCAGAAGACTCATAGCAATCTAGGAATTCATATGTTTAAAATCAATTATCTATGCCTCTTTTATTAAAAGGTTCTCAGTTTAATCATCTAATGTATGGGGAAATGTTCTTTAGAGAAAGACAGATTGCTCAGCGTTATAGTCTAGCGTAAAAATCCTTCTGTTAGTGTGTAAAAATATTATTGTCGGTTGATAAGAAATTGGAGCTTTGTTCTATGTACCTTTTTGTGGAGCATTTTATTGCTAATTGGTACTTTCCCCATGACTGTTGCTTACATCAGACTACCACATTAAAAAAATCATATACCAGTGTAATCATAAACTATATATTGTTTTAATTGAAATAACTCACTACTCTATACAATCACGACCTATCTCTTTCTATATTTCTACGGATTAGCGTGTATGAAATATAGTATTATGATACAATGAAAGAATGATATAGACTAACTTGTGCTGCAACTTCAATTGCTTTTAACTATTTGCCTAATTTAAAGCAAGTACCATAACCATGTTAGGATTACCTGGTTCGAGTGCAAGTGATGAAAGAATAAAGCATGCTAAAACTAATATGTACCAGTAATCAGTAAAAGCATAATGACTTATGCTTACTTGATAAAGAAAAGGGCAGAATCATTTAACATAAGCAAAGGGAAATGAGAAATATTTTCCTTTCATTGTTAGCCAAGCTTCAAATTGTGTCTTACCAAGTTCAATTAATCTTAAACAACTGATAACACACAAATTTATGTTCCTTCAAAAGCTAATTAAGATTGCAGGTGAGCAGTACTTGATTAATAAAAGGACAATGAAGAATAGATAGCTACCAAAGATGGAAATTTTATGAAAAGTCTTCTCTATATTACTAATTATAATAAATGATTTGTTGTTTGTTGCTTGATCTTCACCAAGAAATAGCACTTTGATGTAAAAATAGCAAATATGAAGCAAATTCATCTTAATTAAATTTGAACTCACTCAAAAACCACATCAGATAGTTGAGATAAAAATGGACAGTGCAAAAAAAAGGCAAAGGTAACATCTATTGCATAAGGTGTAACCTCTTCTCTGCAGGTTTGCCCATACCAGACAATCATTATGCAGTGTTATCCATACAAAATCAAATGACATTGAAGGAAACCTTACATTTCCATTTAAGTTTCCGTTGTTGATTGTGGAGATGGTTCTTGAGGTGAGAAGCCTATAACAACAGTTGTCGTTTTTATCTGTCATGTTCTGTTGGTAGGCGGAATTTAGTACAGTCTGAAATATTTCATCAACAAAATATGAATCATTAATAAGTCAAAGTTTCAGAAGACTGCTAAAAAAGGGCAGCCTAACTATAATACAAATATAGATCTATAGTGCATAGTGCTATGTATTGTCAATGTAACACACATGTAAAATACCGTCAAAGGTTCTTGTTGATATACAAATGTCGATGATAAAGTAGTCTTTCTTAAGGGGAAAAAAAACATAGTCAGATAGTTCATAATTCTGTATTTCTGTTCACAACCAGAGAAAGAGATATACATATACATGAAAAAAGTTAGTAAGTTAGTGAGAATCCAGCTAGTAATAGATGAATAGCAAGACTAAAGATCCAAGTGACTTTTCCCCATTTTAATTTTTGTTTTAAAAAGGAGGGTCATGGGCTTGCTTAAAACATTATAAAGCAACTCATAAAAAATGATCCCTAGGCAAAATATCCACACATTGTCCTTTCCTGTTGGTACAGGAGCAAGTGAGAAAGTAGAGTATATGTAATGACATGCACCTTAATTTCAATAGAAAATTCATAATCTAACAACAGAATTTTGCAAGGATTTCACATAAACACACCATGAAATTTAGTAATTGTAATATAATAATAAAATAAATTATTTTATCCCATATAATTCAAGTACCAATTATTGTTTTAAAGAGGATCATCCAAACTTATTGCAAAGAGTATTTACTTCAAACTTGGCAACTGCTTGTGAAAGGGAGTATACACCTTTCTATCATTATAAATGACACCTTAAGTCCTCAAACATTGGAGAGTGATTCACAAGTTCAGAGAAAGCAACAACACCCTTATCTCCTAACATGTTATTGTAAAAATGAAGGACCTGCAATTCGCAAGTTGAGGGAATCAGTTGGCACTTCGTACGCTACATGTGCTATAACCAAACCGAAAAATATACCTATTTTTAGTTTTGTACGGATATTTCACCCTATTTATCTTACAGTAGGCCTTTCGTTTTCTTTTAGAATTTTCTTAAGGACTTATTTGGCCTAAGTATCAGTGTAGATCATGTATAAATATTGACCATGTAAAACCCATAGTAATTTAAAGAAAACTTTATAAAAAATTACAAGGAAAAATGTGAACAAAGTAAAAATAAAGGAGGAAGAACAGTAGAAGAAAGAGGATAAGGAACTAAACAGACAACATCTATAAGATATTAGATCTATGCAAATCAGTGACAAATTAGAACCTTGCATGTACAGAAAGGGATAGAGAAATAAAAGAAAAAAATATTCATAAGCACGCAAGAAGAAGATATGAACTAGACATGACGAAAGTAAAACCAAATTGAACCTAATTTAAACCAAAAGAAAATCAGAAGAAGCATTTTTGTAAGGTTATTATCCTGAAACCTTACACTACTATAAATATTGAAATACAATTAACCAAAACCATGATAATCATCGTGAAAAATCGAAGTAACCCAAAAGGAATGTTAATAGTTTTCTTAGGAAGTAAAAAGTTCATATGTTACCTCTTTATATGAGCCACCCACATATCACTATGAAGCAGATTCTTTGCAGCCTTCACCTATTTTTTCTTGCACTCCAGAAAACCCTATGTGCCTTTCAGTTGTTTGGTCAAATTGAATTCATAAAATACAATTTCAAATCTTACATTAAAATCTCAAATTATCATTAAAATAAAAAAAATTACTTACACGCACCAGCCAATAATAAACATAGAAAATGAACCATGGACTGGAGCTTGCAATTTTCCAAGAACCAAAAGGAAAAAAACATCAAAACTAAGAATAGGGAAAATCCAGTGAAGAAGAAGAAAGCATGAAGAAGTAGGAAAGCAGGAAAAAGAGTAAAAATAGAAGTGCTTAAAGTGACAGCAAAAAGATGTAGGAAGAATGGAAGCGAAAGATAGGTGTCCCCACCAAAACAATAAAGACCAACTACGTGTCAAGGAAATTGAATAGAATGAAAGGGCTAAATCCAAGACCAAAATACAAAATTGCCCATAATATTATTTTACCAGTGTTCGTCCCATGACAAACATTTTAACTGTCTTTTATAAATAGTAGTAATATTAAAATAAAAGTGTTAATCGTCCCGGGCCGGCCCACTGACAACCCGATTTGACCTGGGTCAGCCCGGTTCAGTAAGGGGTGGGACGGGTTGGTTAGGGTAGGGGTTGTGTTGGACGGGGTCAGACCTTTTTTGGCTACCGGTGCATCGGAACCCGTCTAGCCCACTAACTCGTTCAAGCATTTTAACCGTGTTCTAGCCCGGTCCAACCCGGTTTATGTTGTAATTTTTTTTAAAAAAATTCTGATCATTGCCAACGGTCAAAATCAAAAATGACCATTGGGCAACGACCATTTTTTACACTTTTAGCCATTTCGGCCTATCCCCTTACTAAAATTCACCCTTNCATTTTTTCTCACTACTTGCTCTCTTCTTCTACTCTAATTCTCTCTCACTTCCCTCTTGATTATTGAATTGCTTATTGCTATGAAGTTTTCAATTAATTAATATTTCAAGTTTTATCAATTATTTACGGTAGCCACAAGAAAAATTATAATTATAAAGTTAAGTGTACCATTTTTGTTAAGTTCAATTTTTCAAGTTAAATCATGCCCTGTGGTTTTAGAGTGCGCTCACATGCTTGGGAACACTTTGAGGTGGTAGAAGAAAATGAAGAAGTTCGCAAAATTGAGTGCAAGAACCATGGTAGTCTTTAATGTTCGTCGAAAGTGGGAGGGCACAGTTGATTTAAGGAGGCATATCAAGGGTTGTCTTGAATGTCCTCCATCAATTCGTATTTAAGTTAATTTGAGATAATTTGTATTATTTTGAATTTGTTAGACTTATTTAAGCTTAATTTGTTAGTGTATTTAGACAAGTTAATTTGAAGCATTAGTATGCAATGAAAATATGAAATGAATATTATTAGTAAGAAAGTTTGTTACATAATTTAACTTTACAAAACAGGAATAACTTACTAAATTCATCTAGTAGCTAATAGGATTTTCTTTATAACATGTTACTAATTATGTCACAAAACAGAATTAACGATTAATTTTTATTATTTACCTATATAACTTATTTGATCGCTAATTTTTCTTCTTTTTGTAGTCAACTTGTCTAGAATACATGGTACCTAGATGACTATTTTGATACGAAATTAATATAAACGAATGGGATGCATAATATAATACTAAACTTTTATAATTATCTTGGTTGTTTTCATGCTTAGATAGGCCAACCGCTGCTTTTTTGACTAAGTAGGCTCAATATTTGCCATGTTCAAAAGCTTATATTTTTAAAAATCTTATTTTTAAGAGCTTATATTTTTTATAATTTTATATGCATTAATAGAAGATACACACGCATCGCGCGTATTCTATATATTAAAAGCACGATCGTCCTTAGTTAAATGTAGTTCATCTTTTTTAACCTTTAAAAATATAGTTCACGCTAGAGTAAATAGTCATTTAATTAATATTAAGAACTTTAAAATTAACTGAAAATTTAGTTATTGAATGTTTCCTGATTAGAATTATGTAATATATCAAATTTGTAAAAGGAAAGTAATAACGCAATAAATTACGTTAGGAATCTTTCGACCCCTTTGAACTATTATTCGGTTTTAGGAATTTGTTTTTTGCTATTAAACTTAAACCAATTAATTATTCATAAATATTTAGGTAAACTTTCAACCACTTTCAACTCCGATTAATTATAATAAAAAAAAGTAAAAGAATTAGATTCAACGTTCTAAAATTATAAAACTAAACCCATTTAGAATAAGGGGTTGAATACTTCTATAAAAGAAGTAAGTATTATGTGTTCTTTATCAAAAAATTTTGATAGAATAATCGTCTGACATGAAATTTCAGTTGTCACTTGAGGTAAACTTTCTAATCGTCAAGCTCTTCTTGAAGTTATGTGATAACAGACGTTCATTTATTCCTGATAGATAATTACAAATTAAAAGATTATCAAATGTATTTTGTATTTATCATGTCTCATGTATGATTATCAATTTAATAATTGACGTATTTATAAATTTTGTAGAGTTTGTTAGAGTCATTGCATTCCGTAAATAAGGCTTTCTAACTCATATCAATTAAAGATCTTATTAGTTCAGATTATATATTTTTGTCTAATATTTTATTGTTATAATTACTAATTGCTAAGTTAGTTCAAGTTTCTCATTACGTAAAGAAAAAATAAATTTGATTACCTATTTTGATTTATTGTAATATTGTATTACATATGTATAGGATGAAATATGATATGACACGTGATCATCTAAAGAGAGGATACATGGGACCCAAGACAGGAATGACCGAAGACCGAACGCAGTCATTCCACTTGTCACCGGAAAGGATAGCGTTCATAAATGTGTGTTAAATGCTCTACGTCATGTAGCATTTAATAGAGAATATTCTGCAGCATTAAGAGCGACGGTCCGTTACAGAGAATTTGGCATTTATATCCACCGTTACGTCTTCATTAATGACTCTCATAATTGACACTAAGGAGTACACGATCCTAGGACCTCCTTCCCTAAACATAGCTATAAATAGTGGGCTCAGTTATCATTGTAGGACACGAATTTTTTAGGGAAAACCTATACTACATTCTATACAAAGCTCAATATAATCTTACTTTCTTGCTTTCTGATCTTATCATTGCTGTGCCCGGAAACTTTGTTCCCGAAATTGTTATTTTTGTTATTTCGTCTATATTACAAGGCTAAGTATTGTACATTTCTTCAATTATTGCATTATCGCAGGATCAAATTAGTTCACTTGTCTAGAAATCACGTATAAATTTAACTGTACCATTTTACGGGTAAAACAATTAGGCGCCCACCGTGGGGCCTAGACAGTCGTGCAATTAAATTGATCCTTACTAATGCGATTTGATTATTTTTGTCTTAGAAAAAATCATAAAAAATGGCAGATAACACTATTAACAACACGTACAACCTAGAAAATCGAGGGGATCGGCCTCATTTCGAGTATTCAATCAGTGATACCCACAATGAGGGAAATGACGCCACGTTGGTGCATGACAGGTAGAACCCCCGACAGATTCGAGAGACAACTCCTGATGATGCTGACGAGGAGCATGTCGTGGATGCAGTGAGGATCCTACAAGAGCAACAAGCAATCATTCTAGGCCATCTCACTCGAGAGGATCGGGTTATTACGGAACTGAACCAGGCGCTATCGGGGGCTTCGAATAATGCAAAAAGGCAAGATCCAATTCCTCCCGGTGTTCCCGCAAACCAAACAACGCAGAGAATCGATAACAATAATCCCAGGGGAGAAGTTGGCTCCGACGGGGCTGGGGGGAGCAGATCTGGTCTAAACAACGAGAACAACCAGTTCAAGAATGAACTTTTACGGTTCATGAAGGAAGTAAACGCTCTTATGGACTAAATCTCGGGCGCGCCACCAGTATTGAAAGGCCCATACTCGAAGAAGTATGTTCAATTACCATGCAAGCCGAGTGCGGTACCAGAACTAATACCGAAGCGGTTCAAGATGCCTGAAATTCCAAAGTATGACGGGACTTCAGACCTACAGAAGTATATTACCACCTACACAACGACAGTAAAAGAAAATGATCTAGCTCCTCACGAAAATGAATTTGTGATGCTAAAGAAATTTGTGGAAACTCTCACGAGGGAATCCTTAACATGGTATTCATTATTACCCGAGCATTCCATAGATTCCTTTGAGATGCTCGCGGATTCTTTCATCAAGGCTCATGCCGGGTCAGAAAAGTGCAATCTTGGAAGGACGATATATTCATGATCGCACAGGAAAATACTAATTATTACCAGAGTTTGTAACCCGATTCCAGAAAGAAAGAATATTGCTCCCGGTTGTCCCGAATGAATGGGCAGCTGAAGCATTCACCAAAGAATTAAACTCGAGATGCTCAGGCACTTCCCGGAAGCTGAAGGAGAGCTTGCTCGAGTTTAGAGCAACAACTTGGGCAGATGTTCACAACCGGTATGAGTTAAAGATAAGGATCGAGGATGACCAGGTCGGTTCTACATCATCGGCCAAAGGACGGGAGAAGAGTAGAGAAAAATTAAAGGATGACTATGATGCGGACAGACAGACTTCGAGGAGACGGTTTTTGCTTTACGAGCGGACCGAAAGTTGTGGCAGGAACTTCCGGGCAACAAACAAGTTTGCCATTGACAGAGGAACCGATCGTGGTCGAAATAACAGATCACTCTAGGATAAAGAGACGTCGGGGCCTCGGGATTCTTTTTACCCCAAGTTATCGGAATACAACTTTAACGTCAGAATAATGGATCTAGTGTCAGCTATGAGAAACATTAAAGAGGCGCGATTCCCGAGACCTATGAGATCAGATTCTAGCCAAAGGGATCCCAACTTATGGTGTGAGTACCATATGACGAACGGTCACCAGACAGGGGATTGCCGACACCTCTGAGAGGAGGTGGCAACATTATTGAAGAATGGTCACCTCAGAGAATTCTTGAGTGTCCGAGCTAAGAACAATTATGGTCGTAACAGATACAACGCGGAACTTTCGAAAGTATGAGAAGAACCCCCACGCCAAATGATCAATATGATCTCCGGGGTGAATGAGTTTAACGGGGTCACCTTTTCGACAGCGAAGAAGACGAAAGTATCGATAACTCATAGTAAAAGACTCCGGGATGACGATATCACTTTCACGGAGAAGGACGCAGACAGATTGTTGTTACCACACAACGACGCATTGGTAATCTCTTTAAATATGTTAGATTTTAAGATTAAATGTGTTCTAATGGATCTAGGGAGTTCGGCTAATATCATACTGTCACGATCCAAAATCTT